AATAGGATATAAAATAGAATTCAATCGTTTCTTTTGCTTTCAGAACTCAATCTGAAGATTTAGAAAAATCTAGTTCATAAAAAAATGTCATTCAAATGCATGACCGAGATATCTTTCATACACTGTAAACATAGATTGATTTATTTGCAACAATTGTCACTAGGTATAAATCTGCGTGGTAAGATACAGTTTTTAAAGTAAAGTTTGGATTGTCACTTTAAAATTCACGATCGATCGATTGTAATTAGGTGTTAAACTCTTCAAAATATTGACCATCTAGTTCAAGAAAACTGGAATTTAGAACATATGATATTGATCGATGCTGCAATAATATAAACTTTTAATTGCACGCTTGTATTGTGAATTTTGATATGATGAATATTTTTGGTGGTCATTAGTTTTCTTGAAAGATTTACATCGCCTATTCTTTGTTTCAAGAGTTTCAATTCATATAAAGCATAAATGATGCTTCTTAGTTTTATTATTGCGTCATTGAAATCTTCAGAAAATTCTCCATTTACGTTCTTGATATATTAAATTATGAATGAAGTGCTTGTCAGTCTTGTGTCAGTATTACTTTTAAGAATCTATCTGTAATTAATAGTTCTTCATGTTGAAAGTCAAGCTGTATTGGTATTATTTTGTGCCAATTTGTCACTTAGTATAATTCGTATTTCCCTTCATACACAAAAATACAATGAATAAAAAAACTGCTAATAATAGGTGAGAATGTGCTCTAAATGAAACTAAGCAGTTTATTATATGTAAAAAGTCGGTAGAAAAAAAAAACTTAATTCACAGATTATCTATGGATACTAAAACTCTGACAGATATATGCTTTTTAATTAATTAAAAATATTCAATTGCATCTATTTGATTGACAGATAGGTTTGCCTGACAACATCTAGAAGAAAGGGTAAAACCTGCTCCACTAAACTCGTAATGAAGCAAAATAAAAATGAAAGTAAAGTACGTTTTGTGAAGTAGGACACCTTGTCTATTTTTAATCATTCTTTTCATATATTTACACGTACAAAATGTGCTTAGTCAACATTTGAAAGAAAAGAATATTTTTTTTTGCATTTATTGAGAATACGTAATAGAAAAAAAAAGAATAAATGTTAATTGTAGTCATCTTTTTAAACATAGCTTGACGCAACAACATTAGAATGAGGAAAAATATTTAATACTTGTTGATTTTTTTTCTAAATTACTATGTAAATTCTTTTGTATTATCCTATTTGATTCAATATAATCTATTTTTGCCTTTTTTTGATCTATATAACTCATAAAGAAACATTATTTTGTACAATAAAAAAATTATTATTCAATAATTGCAACAATTCTTACTCCTCGATTATCTTTACTACTAATTTAGTCTTAATGTATGAATAAGAAAAGGGCATTGATACGTATTTTTTATTCATAGAATTCTATTCCTATATTGAATTATCAAACTGATGAAAGTATTTTAGACCAGCAACAATATGGAGCAACATCAAAGATAAATATTAGTCATGCATATTGTTCATTAATGATTTATGAACATATCTGTCCTTAGAGTTGTATAAATAATTAAACAGAAATTTATTCGTATAATTTCATATAAGAACGATTCTGATGGTATAACACGTATTATTCATACAGCATCAAGAATAATTATTAGCAAAATATGTTATTATGTGTATGTAAAATAGAGTTAAATTTATAATTTAGATTTATTGGTAGCCATGATTTTGCCAATAAAATTTATAAATATATTCAATGAATTATATTAACATACTTTAAGATAATCATCAAACAATATATTAAGTGTCTTTCTATTGATGTAGTAAGTTGTTTTCATAACATTTAATAATCATAGATTTGGATATTTTTTGAACAAGGTCGTTAGAAAGTTAAATCTCAACAAAATACTCAGTCAACCAGGAAGAGATATTTTCCATTGTAATAATGACTTTTAATACGTTGATTGAAAATAAATTATATTCAAATTTATCTTTCATTTCGTCTCTTTGCAAAGTTCGATTCTTTTTTTTCATGAAACTTATTTCGATATTTTTTTTTCTCTTAAATTTCATTTCAGATCATCTAATAATATTAGTAAAGAATTATTTTAATGAAATATTATATGTATGAAATAGTGTTTGACTTGTATAAACAAATGTCAATATACAACGTGGGCTATAAACAGCACTACAGTGAAAGAATCAAGTATCTTCACTTCAGTTCGGTTGAATAGGCTGATTTTTTGGTTGATGGTAGAAAGTTATTTAAAGTTTTTTTTTTCATACGGATAAAGAAGACAAATAGTACTTAAGTTATATTTTTGGTCTCACTAAAGAAATTTTACACTTATCGTCAATTAAAAAAATACATATGAAATGTTCCATAGATGATTTTCAGTTATCATCGAAAACAAGAAGAAGAAAGCAAAACGAACTATGCTTATGCACACAGAGCACGCTTTCAAAACTACTAGTCAATTTAAATGTTGAAGTTCGTACTTCATAAATAAAATGCATTACTCCGACTCATTTGGCATTAATTTTCTTACACGAATCATTGTTACGTGCTTTTAAAATTCAAAAATTTGCTCTATGTACATGAATATAGTATCATCTATAAAGTTCATTTTTTATTTTTTCTTCTTATTCTTTTACGAAGGAACTAACTCAAGTGGCAGCATCTGTTTGGATTCATATTAGACTCACAGGTAGGTCTCAATGAGAATAGTGGGTACTACCCGAAAGATTGAATAACGGAATTTCGATTCAAAATCTTGCCTATAGATAGATCTAGTGAGTCTTACTGGACTCTGAAAGTCTCAGCCGAAAAGAATGCTTCTTCGTCAAGTAATTGAATTTTCAAGTGAACTCGATTTTTCTGATACGGGGCTATTTTTGAAATTCAAAATCTTGACGAAGGAACATTATTTTCGACCTGAAACTTCAGAATATTCTAATAGTCAGTTCACCTATCTATGGACAAAATTTTGGACCAAAATTCTGTAATTCGATCTTTTGAGACATAAGGAAAATGGATGAAAAATTCAGTAGACCGATCATAACTTGACGCCAAAGGTCAATGAGGACGGATTCATTTAGGCTTTTGTTATTCTCACTGATACCTGTCCGTGAATCCCATACGAGTCCAAACAGCAAGTACCAATTTGAGTAGTTCTCTCGTTATGCGATAAATGGAAATTAACTATGAAATGCTTCATATATATTCTTCTTACTTGATAATCCGTAAAATTGCTTTCATGATATTAACAAGGATACTTGATAGTAGTATTTGCTTACCTTATCCGCACAAAAAAAATTGAATAAAACTCTACCGCTAACTAAAAACTTAGTAGATTTGATTACATAGATGTGGAGATATTTCATCTTTTTATTATAGTATTATTTATGGCCTACCCTGTATATTTATTATCAATAATGATTGATATTGACTTTAATAATGACTTATCAAATATAGTAAGTCTGGCAATAGATCAGAATGTTTATGTATAAGAACACAAAATACTTTTCGATAGATATATGATAAAAAAAATTGAACTATTGTTTTTTAATGCATTGTGTAAATAATTCATTTTAACTATAATCAATACAATTTATATTTATCAAATATTTAATTAAACTATAATTTTCACTCGAAATTTTTTTTATTCTATTTATTAATCAAAAAAGATCTAAATATTGAAAATATAATCTATTCATCACCCATAAAAACGTTAATAATTCAATATTTAAATGTTGTAGTAGCAATGAATTCGTCACAAAGACTTATTCCTACCTAGTGATTCTTCTAATTTATCTTTTTTTTTTTTTTCTTATGAAAACAGTTTCGATACAAATAGATAATTGTAAGTTTGTTATAGATATTTCTAAATATATTTTGGTTAAAAAGAATTCTTATTGTGATGTTATGTTTTGTATATTTCTTTTTATAGAAACAAAGATTGATAAAGTTTGTTTTTTTCTTATTGATATCTGATGATCGTCGTGTCTATATTCTAGATTGCATACATACATGTTCTTGCTTTTTCTCTTGTTTCTTTCTTCTTTTATGTTCGACAATTCGACGGTTAGAAAAATATTTCATGTGCATTTCATCATCGTTTGATACTTCGAATAATTTGAGCAAATGAAAAGAAGTCATCGTTATAACGATAGTGACTATCAAAGATAGATACCCTACTCTTTTTCTGTACATTTACTTTTTTTCGATACGTCTATCAATCGTCGTTTGCCTCTTTTTTGCCCGTCACAACATCAGTTATGCTTATTGACGATGGAGTTTTTCTTATTGCGTAGGTGATGCTGATAGCCTATTTTACATACTGCCACTTCTGTATGAAACTGATGATTGATAGTCTTCCTCACGTTTTCTCTTGTTTTGTATTTTGTTTTGCCTTACCACGCACGATAGATGCTTATATATCTATCATATGATTCTGCACTTTTTTTTCTTTTCTTCCATATGTTTGTGTCCTACAATTGCACTCATTGCTCTTTAGCATAATATTGATAGTAGCAAGGATACTAATGCGTATGACTTTGTTCGTTTATTTTTTAGTTTATTGTCATTGAAATGAATAATCCAGAGTCTCAATATCCATTTCTTCAGTGCCCAGCAATATCACCTTCATATTTATCTGGCATTATTAAACAAAGTCAAGATGACTGTCAGATATTTCATTCGTCAACAAAATCAATACCATTTACATACTTGCAACAAAAAGAGCAAGTTATATCTACTTTTCCTATGTATGTCTTAGGCATTTTAACCTTGATTATAATTATGTATTTGACGAAGAAAAAAAGTGTTGTATTAGATTTATTTTTGAATATTTATAAGTCATTTCTATAACTCGATAGAGGATCACAACAAAATGCCTTCTTTAAATAACATATTTATAAAAGTTTTCTTTTGTTTTCTTTTGATTAAAAAGGAATGAGAAATTGAAATCATCAAATGTTGCATTAGTGGGAATGTTATCATCATCACCATTGTCTAATGTAATTTTATTTCAATCTAATCCTAAATTTTCATTCCATACATCAAATACTCCATCATATTCATCATCTATGTCAAACTCAATAAATAAAACTCAATCTCGTAAACGTAAACTACCAACAAATGATTCCTCTTTATTTCTTGCATCTTCAATACCGGCAAAACGATCAACTCCTATAACCATGTTGTTTCCAAATATGATATCGTCTAACGATTCAATTGTACTGCTTGCTAATAATAGTAAATTAATTCAAACCGATCCAATACATTCATTTTCATCATTCACAACATATAGTCATCAATATGATATTGAAAAAGAAAAATTAATAGCACAAATAAATGAATTACATCGTGTTAAACCAGATATTCAACGTCAACATCAATCAACAGCTGAAGCAATAAAACGTTGCTTAAATATAACTCGTACACTACTTGTTGATAAATCTCAACTTGAAAAAAAACAAGCACGAGAAAAAGCTATGGAAAATCGTTTACGTCTTGGTCAATTTATAACACAACGGCAAGGTACATCTTTTGTTGAACAATGGATTGATGGAACTATTTTTTTGGAAAAACAACGTGCACAGGAACAATTAATAGGAACTAAAGAAAATCTTGATAAAGAACGAAAAATTCTAACAAAAAAGAAAACATTTATACTACAACAAGAATTAAGGATGACAATGATGATCGGTGAAACAAATATTAGTAATAGTAATTTCAATTTTCAAGATATGTTTAATTCAAATTATGCCGTACAAAAGAAATTGAAACGAATAAAAACAAATTCAACTAATAAATCATTGACTAGGTAAATATTAGGTTTCAACGGTGAAGTCTTTCGAAAAATAAAATGTCAGAATATTAATTTAATGAAAAATCCTTATATTACAATATAAGAATTCCTTAAATAATAGAAGAAAAAACATCTCTTTTCCTTCTAGTGATATTTAGCGATTGAATTTAACAACAACAAGATTATCGATTATATTTAATGTATTACTTTTTTAGTAGCGACAACATTCTAATATGAGAAATTTTTATTAGAATAGAAGTTTAACATATTATTTGACAATCGATAATTACGAAATAGAAATGTGCAAGATTATCCTACTCTACTCTGTAGAATTAGGTATGTAAGACTGACCTTGTTTCAGGGTAGAATAAAGTAAGAGTTAGAAAATTTTTTTCAATCTTGTACAGTAGTTGTTTATTATGTCAGGTAGGCAAATTATTAGAAGTATATTTTTCGAAGATGGAGAAGCTAATTTTCTAGAAGAGTCACACTGAAAATAAAATAATTTTTTTTGTTGAAACTCTTCAGGTTGGTAGTTTCATTCGAGTATTGTAATTTTCCACAGAAATAAAGAATGTGTCCTTTTGAATACGTCCATAATACAGGGTCAAACCTTGACTTGATGATAACGAAAAAAATTTTTATTTATTTTAGTCAACAGGAATCTACACTACTCAATGGAAAATTAAATAATGGATCTTTAATAAGTTCATCATATCATCAATCACAATTATTTCCTGATAATTCAAATGACAATTATTGGTCATTTCCTATTGATGCTAATCCTCTGAATGATAGTAGTAGTTCTTCATCTTCGTCTTCATCTCTTATTTCAAATTCTTCATCATCACTGATGACATTAAAAGATTGGTTTGAATATGATGAAATTCTTCGTCTTCGACAATCAACATGGAAACGTGAAGAATGTGATTTAGCTCAAGATTTAGAAAAACTTGATCGTGAAAGAACTATTCATATACGAGAATTAAAACGATTATATAATGAAGATCATTCAAAATTTAATCAAAATAACATTCTTAATGATCGTTATTTACTTTTAACACTTATTGGTAAAGGTGGTTTTAGTGAAGTACATCGTGCATTTGATTTATGTGAACAACGTTATGTTGCTTGTAAAATTCATCAATTAAATAAAGAATGGAAAGATGAAAAAAAAGTTAATTATATAAAACATGCTCTGCGAGAATATAATATACATAAAAATCTCGAACATAAACGTAAGTTTTTTGTGTAAAACAATGAAAGAAAGTAAAAGAAGGATATTTATATACTTTTTTGTTTAGGTATTGTTAAATTATTGGATGTATTTGAAATTGATACAGATTCATTTTGTACAGTTTTAGAGTATTGTGATGGAAAAGATTTAGATTTTTTTCTTAAACAAAATAAAACAATTCCAGAAAAAGAAGCCCGTTTAATTATTATGCAAATAGTTAATGCACTTAAATATCTTAATTCAGAAATAAAACCACCTGTGGTCTGTTCTTTAATTCTTAAATAAATAGAAAATAATAATTTTTTCATTTAGATTCATTATGATTTAAAACCAGGTAATGTTCTTATGGGAACAGGAAATAATAGTGGTGAAATCAAAATAACTGATTTTGGTTTATCTAAACAAATGTTTGAAGATACATTTGATGAGGATGGAATGGATCTTTCATCTCAAGGTAAATAAATGCAAATAAATCAATAAATTGATTTAATTATTTCCTTGCCAAGGTGCTGGTACCTATTGGTATTTACCACCAGAAGTATTTGTTCAAGGTTCAAATCCACCTAAAATTTCTTCGAAAGTTGATGTTTGGAGTGTGGGTTGTAAGTTTAGATAATAAGCACATTGTACATTAATAGAATTCCTTTTCTTTTTTCTTTAGGTATTTTTTATCAATGTTTGTATGGTCGAAAACCTTTTGGTCATAATTTATCTCAAGCAGCTATATTAGAAAACCAAACAATTTTAAATGCGAAAGAAATTCAATTTCCAAATCGACCTCAAATATCAAATGAAGCAAAACTATTTATTCGTCGATGTTTAGCCTATCAAGTACGCCATCGGCCAGATGTTTTACAATTGAGTGAAGATGACTATTTAAAATCTTATTCCAGACGTACCACATTGACGCTTTCGTCGCCATTTTCTTGTCGTAAATAATTATGTAAATTTTTTTTTTTGTATAAGAACGTCAACAATGGTGCTTGAACTTTTCGATTCAGGACAAATCTTTTGTAAAGAAAAAGGAATTGTCGCACGTATAACTCGTTGCGGATAAAATATAACAATAAATTATAATAGAAAATATTTGCCTGTCACCAATTAATTTTGTAGAAACTAACGACAAAAAATGAAGAAAAATAATGATTACATAGTTTACTCATAACAGACTAAGAATGTATATTAGATTCATTGGCTTGCTCCGATGGCTTAAACAGAACGGAAATTGTGATGGATGGTAATGAATAATATTTATTTTTTCTTTGAACTTTATACTTTTGAAACAGAAAAGGTTGCATGGATCAGTCGGTTCCTCGTCATTTGCGGCTATATTTTCGGCTACTCACACTACTCATGTCAATAACAATAAACCTTAGCCATTCGGATATTTTCTTTCTCAAGACTCTGTTCAAATTCTAATTCACTACAACGATTACATGTATAATACCGTTTCGAATCGAATATTCAACGAAGAAAATCGATCTCTTGCTTTCAAGCCACACTTGTCTATGAAAAGTATTATTTCTTTCTTGTATACGCATGTTGATAACATGGTAATCAGGCAAGGTGAAGTATTTCATTTTTGTCTACCGTTTGATTGGATTGTTATGTACAAAACATAAAAAAAAACTTTCTATGAATCCGCAGTAGAACATGAAAAATGAGATGGAAGGAGAGAGATCTTGACATATATACGATGGATGCCAAATAGAGTGGATTCATAATTGAATTTTCTCTTTGAAATGTGTTTCTTCATTCGAAAATTTCAATGCTTCTGTCTGCCTACTGCATAGACATGTATCGAACTAACTTGAAAATAAAAAAAATAAAAATGGAGTGTCTTTTTTTCCGAATATGTTTCATTGATCGTCGAATCCTTTTTGTGTTGACTATTCTTCTTTCTCTACATGAAAATACTATCGAAAAACAAATGCGACAGATATTTTCTCCCAAAGGACCACGTCAAATAGGTTCAATTAAGAGAAATAGAGAGAAAAGAAATGCTATATAAATAGTGAAGCCCTTCTGTCTAGCATTCATTCTGTCCATATATTTAAAATTAATAGGTTTCAGCAATGTAGATACTGAGCAGCCGACAACAGCGAGTGGTTGATTTCAAGAACTGAAGACCAGAAACTAGACTTCCTCATCTGGANTAGTTTATTAAAGCTTAATATTCAGTCCTAAAGTATCACTCCTACTTTTGGTATGCCCTAACTATTTTTTAAACGACATTCGTTCATTAACTAAGATAGGAAATTAAACAAAAAAAGACAATAAAGATTGTGCGATGTGATGGATAGATCTAGCTCGACATTAGAAAGCAGCATAAAATGGTGATAATAAAGTTGCCACTATCAGTTATTACCATGTAAACGATATTACTTGAAAACAAATCCTTTAAAAGTACATGACAACTACCATAAACTAACTGCCAGCTTTATTGTTAAGATCCTTAAGTATCTTCTACGTCCCAAACATTCACCTAGGCTGATAATATAAAACAAAAAAAAACTGTCTCGAATTCTGGTAAAGAAATTTTCACTATCAAATCGTGATTCCGTCACGACCGTTCAACTAGACTCGAATGCTTAACTAAAAATGCGAAGTAACCCATCTGATAGGGCATTAAAAAGTAACGTTAGAGAACTTATTGGCAGAGTCAAAAATCCTTGCTTAAGATAAACAACGAATTATAAGATATTTTCGTGACGGAATCACACTGAGAAATGGACTAGTTTTTAGAAATGCGAATATCTTTTTCGGGAAAGGGAGAAATCTAGGTCTTTCGACATGAACATAGAGACCATTCAAATTACTTTTACATTGTATGATCGACTTTAGAAACAGCATGTCTTCTTATACAAAAAACTAGACCAAAAACTGACGGTATATAATTTGGTCTTCATGAAGTCTGCAAGACATGTCTTTAACAACAGTTGTTTCTCGGAGTTAGGCATACCTGCGTAGATAAAATATGAACTATAAAACCTCCTTCAGGGCATCATTGGCTACAAAACCGGCGATTATCGGTCAAAAACCTGCTTGTCCTCTATGTCCCACAGCGATTAGGGTTTCCATATCTTTTGATAAAAGATTAGAACCAATGTGAAATTTGGACTGAATACCTAACTTTGTATGCTCTATCCGTTGGTGAATTCAAAAATCCGAAAACAATGTTTTTTCAAAGTTTTTGAGGGTTTTCTGGAAAACTTTTTAAAGATCCCAAAGGACTCAACGAGAACTGACTTCTCCATCATGTTCAGCACACCAAATAACCTCTGTAGGACCTTTTAAACTTTCTAAAAACATTGAGTTAACTATTCTTGTAACGCCTTCATTCTCTTTAATTTGGCTACATCATCTATAGGGCTAATCATAGACATATATGTCCTGATCCGGCATATTAGAAACACTTGGATTCCCATAGAACTGTGTACAAAGGTTATTTGATGTGCTGAACACAATGGTGAAGTCAGTTCTTTGGGATCTTTGAAAGGTTTTCCAAAAAACCCTGAAAAACTTTGAAGAACCATTTTTTTCGGATTTTTGAATTCACCAACGGATAGAGCATACAAAGTTAGGTATTCAGTCCAAATTTCACATTGGTTCTAATCTTTTATCAAAAGATATGGAAACCCTCATATCTGTGGGACATAGAGGACAAGCAAGTTTTTGACCGATAATCGCCGGTTTTGTAGCCAATGATGCCCTGAAGGAGGTTTTATAGTTCATATTCGATAAGATCATGTTTTGCTGGCTATTATGAATGTTTTTCCATCAGGTTAGAGCAATGAATTATGAAGATACAGACTCCAAAAACCTGGGTATAAAGTCGAACGAGGACTTCAAAAAGGGCTAAATTTTTTCTTTATTAAAAAGCTTTCAGCACTTAATTTTTTGATATTCGTAATCAGCACACTGGACTCTATCAATAAATATGTGTTTAAACGAAATCAAAAATAAAAAGTTTTTCAGAGGTCCCTGTGGGGGACCACAGATCCCAAAAACCTTTTGGTGAGCAATACGAAAAAAAACCTATGGAATATTATCAGGAGCCATGTCTTACTTCAAATCGATAAAAAAAAAGTTAATTTTGTTGGGGGCAGAAAAATGGCCTTATCGGCCCTAGCCCTTTCTAAAAGACCATTTTTTGCAAAGATAATCGATTGCCAGCAAACGCCGTCTTTTTTATTTCTATATTTTGAAATAGAGAATTTTTTTTCACGGACGCTCTTTTTTGCTAGTCGAATGGTATTCATGTCCTTTTGTTTTTATGGAATTTTGATCCTTTATTATTATTGATCTAACCATTAATTTAATGAATAAATAAGTTTGCTGCACACATTTGTTATATCTATAGCAGATCTTAACAGTCTGTTATGCATCTCGATGGACTTACTACGACTAAAATTGACTATTCCAGAAAGTTAGAACGCAATCTGATCATGCTTTTCTGTTGGTCATATCAGAGTTATGGAAAATCAAAAGTATTATCCATGATATCAATCATATTATCGTTGATCAACGCAAAAAGCAGAGACTACGTTTTTTGGAAGATTGATAAACGTATTCTAGCCATTTAAATTTCAAGAAAGGTTCTGGAATGTTTTAGAACCTTATAAGCCTTGTTATTGATATCGTTAAGCATCTTTAATTCTGGTTGCTAATGTCTGTAATAGGAAGGGGAAGGGTTGCCATAGTCTGTAATCGGGGTAGCCGCAAAATCTCGACCTAAACTTACACTCACTGTTTTCTTCGAAAATGTACGTGAATTCCACAAGAAAACGGTGTGCGTGGCGTATTTTTTGTGTGCTATAAAGTGTCAACATTAAAGCAAATAATGATCGAATAGAAAGAGATGCAGAATGAAGCAAAGAAAGCATTGTTCTGTTGTTGACTAATGTTTTGTAATAGGCAATAAAATAAACAGTTTAAACTTATTTTCTTGCACTTTGCTATGTATTTTTCTCACTAAATAGCGTATAACAAAATTTCCACAAACATCACTCATTTTTAGCTATGCATCCAAACGACCAACTTCACGATTGATTATTGGATTGTTATGCTAGCTTGCACACGGATTTGAAACAAGAGATCTGTTTATTAGTAACAATTGATGATTTGGTTGTTATTTTTATTCTCTTTCTAAATATAAATTGCATCTCAAAATATCAAAAAAGCGAGGGATTCAAGAAAAAAGTGAAAGAGACTAGGAAGCTGCCGATCCTTCCAGACTCGGGCCCGGGTCCAAAGTTTTACTTTTTTGTTGGATTCGGATCCATAGTTTAATTCTTTTGTCGGGTTCGGGTTCAATCTTTGAGTTTTTGTCGGACCCGACTACACATTTTTGTGCACTCGTAGCTCCATAGATGAGAAATGCAACAACAGAATATAACTGAACTTTGAATTTTTCTTTAAGAGTAGCAAATAAATAGCTAAAACTTTGATCATTCACTTGTTCGTGTACACGAAGAGTGTCAGATATTGATGGAAAAAACCTCAGGTATGAATCCGGTCGGATCCGGATCCAAATTTTTATTTTTTCGGGTTCGAGTTCAAATTTGTTATTTTTTTTCGGCTTCAGGTCCACAAAAACGTGAACCCACAGCTCGCTACAAGAGACAATTCTTGAGATTGTCGAAGAACTGACGACCTACACCCGCACCTCACAAACACTTGTAGCATATGCTCCTTGTGTTATAAACTAAATGATAGTAATAGAAATACACAAGAAGGTTAACTTTTATTAACTGGTGCTCAATTTTAGGTGCCAACTAACTTGGCTGAGAACTTTAAAGAAGGTACTGTTTTTTTTTCATTAGTACACTATTTACTTCCTTATGTGAGAAAGTTTTTAAATTGATTGAGACCATATTAAACAGAAAAATATCACTTGTATTCTTAACTAGACATCATCTGATATTAGAATTTCGAAT